ATATATATATAGATGTGATTCAAATGAGAACCAAGTCCTAGCGTGAGAACCGCTATTTTTAATTATATGTAGTGTTATGATTGATTGTGTTTTAGTGTTATTCTTAATTAAGATGTATTTTATTAAAAATAACAATAAAATTTTTATGGAGTGGAGCTCGAGCTATATATATATATTAACATAGGTGCTTAATGGTAATTTTACTTTCTATTTACAATTTTTTTAGCCGAGCTCGAGCTGTTGTAATTTTTTATGGAGTCGAGCTCGAGCTATTGTAATTTTTTATAGAGTCGAGTTCGAACATTTTGATTTCGAGTCGAGCTCGAGCCGAGCCCGAGCCATTGTAATTTTTTACCGAGTCGAGCTCGAACATTTTTTACTCGAGCTCGAGCTCGTATTGTAATTTTTTATTGAGTCGAACTCGAGCTCGAGCAGTGGTGTAGATTAGTATCTAGTATTATTATTATTATCTAATAAGTGTCTTAGAGCATAAGTTAAGATTTAATATTATTGTGTAATAAGTGATTTTGTCTTGTTGGACAAGTTAAGGTCTAGGGTTAGGAGCCTTATTTAAAAGGCTCTTCTCCTTGGTTATGAAATGATTGAGTTTGAATGAATAAAAGATATTGTTGAATTTTACGTGTTTTACGAGAGAGTATCTCGTTTACTCGTTTTATCCTTCCCATTTGTACTTTTCCCTACATCAGTTGGTATCAGCAGTCAGTACGATCGCGATGCCGCTGGGACGACAAGATGCTGGAAACAAACAACGTGACGCAATCTTCAACGATCGGTTTCAACAGATTGACTACCGATTTCAAGAGTTGGACGTGCGTTTCACAGATTGGTTTGCCGATCTTTCGACGGGGATCGAGGATTTGCATTTGACGCTTAACAACGTGGTTGTTTCAGAATTGCAAACGAACCGCGATGGGGTTGTGGGTCGTGGCTTTCGCGGGGGAGACAGAGGTGGTTGTGGGGGACGCAGCCATGTCGGGGCGCCCCGACAGTGGTTCCCGCCACCTCTGAACGACTTCGTGGACGGCGACGATCAAGGCGGCGATAGGGGTTGGCGCGAGGAGGCAGCCTTCACTGACGGATATCGTGCCCGACGCGATTGGGGATTTGATCGCGAATATGGTCAATGGGAGGGCCCGTTTCGCGTTGACATCCCTGAATTCGACAGTGAGCAAGTTGACGGGCCATTGTACGACGGTCCTCCTATTTTCGATGAGGAGCCTTCGGTGATGGAGATATATCTTTGCAGCAATATGGGTCCCACGTGGGACGTCGCAGAAATTGAGCCTTTGACGAGGATATCGTTGTTCAAACTCGATTTTTGGAGTATCTTGGCCAACGATTGTTTTTCGGAGCCGAAGCCGAGGCTCAATAACTGGTGGGCCATTTTCCGATTGTCTATCCTGAAATCTTTCAACAACGAGATGCTTGGCTGTACTTACAGATTTGAGTGCGGTGAACGGTGTGGTATGTTTGGTGTTAATTCCGCTGTGTGGGTTATGCATATGGAGGTGTGTACATGTGCATTTGTAGCAATTCAATCCTTGCCCATGATTATGTTTACCATCGGGATTGTTGGACGACATTCTTCCTTCGTGTTCGATCGGGGGAAACGATGGGGATTTCCTACCATGAGTTCGACACCACACGCCGGCCACAAGAGCGCATCGGCTTCGAGGTCGAAGCCTTCCGAACCGGGGGAGAATGGTGTAGATTAGTATCTAGTATTATTATTATTATCTAATAGGTGTCTTAGAGCATAAGTTAAGATTTAATATTACTAGTATTTGACCTGTGCATTTGCACAGATTTAAATATAAATTAAATATTATAATATATTTGTATGCATATAATATTAAAATTATAAGTTAAATAATAGTATTATATTTCAAACATGTAGTATTATAAGTTATATTTATGCATATAATATAATATTAAAATTATAAAGGATAATAGTATTATATTTTAAAATTTGATTATTGGTTAAAATAAATAGTACATACGATTGGATTGTATACGAAAAACTATATTGATTGCATAAAATGTAATAAATATATAATTTTTGTAATATTGAGTGATCATGACCAAT